TTATATAGGAGGTGACTATAGAGAGGTTTGACCGTATTAGTAATATAAAAATTATATAATAATTATATTTATACTACTCTACTGTAATCATATTTTTAAAAAAATCAAAGTTCTGCAAAGAATATATCACTTAGTTCCTTATTCTTCAAGTCTCCCGAAAAATTAAGTCCTTCTAGTGTTATCACCGAAGCTAAGCCATTTATGTAACCACCGTACTCAATAAGCACAGAAACCTTCATTACGTTTATTGTATGAGTGGATCTTATTTTCTCGACACCCATTTTATCTACAACCCATTTCACCGGCATCACATAGGGTTGGAGTTAGCGTTTATTAATTGCATATATATACTAATAGTGAATTATCCCAATTTTCCCGCCAAAATATGTTTGTTATTTTGTAGGTAACGGTTTAATTATTGTTATCGGATAATTAGATAAATTAATGCAGTGTCCATCCTGTGATTATGGTAAATTAAAAAGTTTCATTCAAAAAACTCCATTTTTAAAATTGAATAAAATTTAGGTTCTACAATATTCATAAATTCGGCGATTTAAATGATATTACCAAATTTCTAAAATGGAAAGACATTCCAATAAAGTATAAATCCTCAAAAAAATTTATTACCAGTAAAAACTTTGATTTATCTTGTAGGTTTAGAGAATAAAAAAAGTTAAGATATAGTCGTCCTCTTCAATAATCACTCAACATGTTTTACACGACTATGTGATTATAACTATTGTACTTATATGAGGTCTTTTTAATAAGGTTGTTTCGAATTTTTTGTGATTATATGGATGTGATTATGTAAAAGGTGACAATAGAGGAGAACGACTTTAAAATAAGAGCAGTTTTAGATATTTACCGTTTCGGTATGCTGTGCAATCTTAGAATCGGTGATTTAACTCCTTTTCAGTGAATGTTATATGTTATTTTACATAAATTTACCAAATATATTATAAATAATTCGGCCGATTCTAAATATAGATGATTTCATTGTCCCACTGTATTATTTCAATGAGAATCACCTTAACCGAAAACTAACTGGGTGGCGGTCAATAGAAATGAGAGATCTGCCATTTTTATCAATCCTCGTTTATATTGACCGCCGCCATTATATTAAATTTAACTTTTTCGCTCATACGCTATACATATCATTTTCTGCAAACAAAGTAGTATAGGCTACTTGATATCGTACCTAAAGATAGTACAATTGGAAACAGATCGTTTTACAATGAAATATTGTTAATACTGTGTATTGTTTTTTTTTCAAATTGTAGAAGAAAAACCATATCAGTAAATTATAACTTGATTGGTATTTTAATCACATGAAAATAACATTGTTCAAAGTGATAATTGTCCCTATTATTCCACTAGTGAACCTATCAGGATAATTGTGCAATACTGTAATCCTGTGACCTATATCAGTTACAGTGCCTGAAACTGGGTTGTAGACTGCGGACCGCAACAAAATTTTAATTCCCGCAACCAAAATCTGAAGTGCATATAACCTCATTACGAAATTTATTATTTATTTTTTAAGATTGAACCCCTAAAAAAATTATTAACACTCCGATCTATAATAACAATGCGCCTAACCATTTTCCCATACGTTTAACCCATTTTCCCATTAGCGCAACCCATTTTAAATTTATCGTTGCATAAATTTTATGAATAACAGAAAATTTAAAATATATCATCGTAGATCAGAATAATAACACTACATATATGTGAAGTCAATTAAAGACTCGCAATCGGTGGTCAAAATTTTCAAATTTGGGGGTATTTTACAAATCCGCAGTAAGGCCGTTCGAAGTTAATTCTTCGATTAACATCACCTTTAGAACTCTTGGGAGGGGGAAGGAAGGAGTAAAATGAAACGAACATATAAAAATGGCAATTTCATTGGTCGACGTAAATCAAGTAATTAGCGAGAGTTATCCAGCGTTTTGATTGGTTGTTCGTTTATCGGGGGAGGCTTCAGCGGATGATGTTAACCGAAGAATCAACTTCGAACAGCCTAATGCAACTTAAAATTGAATTTCAAACACTAATCGATATGAGAAATCATTTAACTCATTATTATTGCAGTGAACTCTATCCCTGAAGAGTCCTCAGCGGTGGAATTCACTGCGATAATAATGAGTGAAAGGTTTCTCTCACGCAAAACATCCATTTTTATACTCCAGTACCTACTTTTTTGATACTGATTGAGCAGATCCCAACAAAAATAAGAATATTCGAAGCTTTGAGCGAAGTTTTCTCGACAATTATCTGACCAAATTCTATAGAACTTTTCTATTTGAATTCTATGAACATAGAATTCAAATAAAAATAAATTTTCATCAAATTTAGTCAAGTGGTTGTCGAGGTATCTTCGCTCAAGTTAGAAAAAATCAAACCGCTCATCAAAATAGAAGCTGCGTCACATTTTTCTCTACCTTTGAGCGAAGATATTTCGACAACCATCTGGCCAAATCCGATAACATATTTTTATTTGAATTCTATGGATCCATAGAATTTAAATAAAAAAATTGTCACCGAATTTAGTTAAGTGGTTGTCGAGATATCTTGTCCAAGTTAGAGAAAAATTAAAGCGACTATCAAAATAGAAGCTGCGGCAAATTTTTCTCCAACTTTGAACGAAGATGTCTCGAAAACTGTTTGAGCAAATTCAATAAAGCTTTTTTTATTTGAATTCTATGATTCATATAATTCCAACAAAAAAATTTTCATTGAATTTAGACAAGTGGTCGTCGAGATAACTTCGTTCAAAATTAGAAAAAAATCAAAACACCCATCGAAATAGCAGCTGCGTCAAATTTTTTTTTCTAACTCTGAGTGAAGATATCTTGACAGACATCTAACCAATTTCGATGAAAATTTTTTCTTTTGAATTATATGGAACAATAGAATTCAAAATAAAAAGCTTTACCGAATTTCATCCGATGGTTGTTGAGATATCTTCACTCAAAGTTTTGAAAATTCTGGGATCTGCATGTCACATGATCTTTCATGTGATTAATTGATCGCATAATAAAGTATCGGATTATGATTGGTTACTTGCAATAAATGACATAATATTCCCGGTGGAAACCTTGAATAATATTATACACGATAACTCAATATTATAAAAGATTCAGTAAGTTTAATTTAGATAGGTAAATTTATATACAAAATAAATAAAGTTTCTTTATCAAACGATAGGGTAATGATCTCTCATAATACGTACACGATAAAATCTTATTTTTTAAAATGTTTATTTTTTACATAAAAAAGAAAGAAAGAAATTAGATGAATATGCGACTTAAGGTTATTTTTTAAAAAAAATTGCCACGAAAAAAAAATACAAGAAACATCGCGAAACAACAAATAAACCTCGTGAAGACAATAAAAGTTAGCCGCAAAAATTATGATGAAAGCTATGCGAAAACACAAAGAAGCCACGTAAATGATAAAGTCATTTGCCAAAGCGACGAATGAACGACAAACCAACGATGAAGAATAAACAATAATACAACCACAAAAATGGTACGGCAAAATAATCGCATCGAGAAGACGAAAGAACTGATGCAGAAACGATGAATGGACAGATGCAATAATTATGAAAGTACAACCGCAAAAACGATGAAAGGACATGTTAAGAACCATTACAGAAATGAAAAAGGAATCACTGTGAAAAAACGACGAAATAGCTATCACAAAATGGCATTAAACAAAAGAACCAGTACAAAGCAGCGAAAGGGAAGCATAGAAATGATAGAAAAACGATTTGAAAGAAGCTAACTTCGAAAAACAATAAAGAATAAAATAAAATAAACCAATATGAATAAAAAATAACAGAAGCATAATTTGCATAAATGACAATACCACGTGACCAAAATGTTATGAAGAAGCATATTTATAATGCTTATTGATAAAGGGGTAGTAGATAAATGTTTCCATAATTATTACTTAATTTCTCTTAGCTTAAAAAGTTTAAGATGCATAAATACTCGAAAAAAAGCATGTGGGTATCGAGTTTAGTTTAAATTATTATATCGCACAAAACAACCTTCATGACACAGATGACTCACAATATTCTTAAATGGGCAGGGTTGTTGGATGAAAGATCCGAGTATCTTTAATTCCTCTTTTGTATATGTGTTGGTGAAGTATTCTATATCTTCCGCAGATAAGCCACGGAAAATTTCATCTTCATTGTAAATTTCTTTGGACAGATCTATAGGCATAACTGGGTTTGCATTGCTGAAGTATTCTTCTGTGGATAGGCCACAAAGGATTTCATTCATATTGTAAATTTCTCTAGGCGGATTTAATGGTATACTGAGGCTGAGGTCTGCGTTGCTGAAGTTTCTTATTTCTTCTATGGATAAACTACAAAAGATTTCATCATCATAGCAAATTCCCTTAGGTGGATCTACAGGTATCATAGGGTTGTCATGAATCGGATTATTTTGGGTTTTTTCACGCTTTTTATTTTTTGGATTTTTTTGCTTTGGGCCGCGTTTTTTCCCTACACCTTTATAGAAAGTACATTCTATATTACGTTTTATGCATTGGGTGCATTTCGTATTTGACGTAGTGGATATGGCACATTTGATCTTTCGAATTTTACAAAAGTCGCAAGCGCATGATACGTTAAGTCTGTTTGATGACATCATAGATTATTGACGATTAATAATAAATTCATAGGATTGTTTTGAGACGAAGAAATATAATTATGTTCAACGAATAAAGCTCAAAGTCAGTTAAGAGATATTTTAGATTTTGTTATGTAGTATTATTTTTTTTCTGGCTTCTTACAAATTCAATCCACAAATGCATTATATTTCATATAGAATTTCTACATGAGCCGTCCATACACAACTTCGAGATAAGAAGTCAATCTTAACGATGCAAGTTTTCTATGATGCTTAAATACACGGCTTAGTAGACTCACTTATATTTATAGAATTAAACAAGTTTATATGACAATATTTTAGAACATAAAGCAAGGTAATAAAAAATTGATTTCAAAAATTAGAATCAAAAGAATTAGGAAATTTTCATATCGCACAACGGATTTTCGCGCAACAAAATTATAAAGCAATCCGACAATGTTGTTTGCTATATAGAGCGATTTATTAGATTCACAAAGTTTGAATTTTAGAAAACTGTGTGTAAAATTTAAACTGCCAAACCTTTAATATCAAAGAAAA